CGATGCCGGGCTCGAACCCATGAATCATGAGACCATGACCTGAGCCGAAGTTGGACACTTAACTGACTGAGTCAGTCAGGCACCCCTAGATGTGTTTTCTTAATGTCGATTTTAAGCAACAAAGAGGCATCACTCCATACATACACTCACCTCTAGTTCCTTTTATGAGAACCTTGAGTCAGATGATAAATACCTGCTTCTAAAGCTGGGCCTTTCTCTCAGCCAGGAGCGCAGAATCCCAAAGAGGCAAGTGGTATATATATTTTCTAACTGGGACGCATCATAGAGGACACAGTAGGGCCCAGAAAGAGGCACATGTTTACAAGAAGAAACTCAAAGGGAGAGAGGGTAGAAAGAGGGACAGGGAAACTTTCCCGATTGCTATCCACATAAAGACACGATCCAGAAATAGCACCATCCTAGAAATGTGGAAAGTTGAAATTTAAAAGAAAAGTCTGAGGGAAGCAGTGATGGGGAGAAGAGGGGAGAAGAGAGAGGGAAGTGTGTATGTGTGTGTGTGTGTGTGTGTGTGTGCGTGTAAATACCTGTAACTGTTGTGATGGACATTTAAATAAAACTTATGGAGATAATTGTGTTTTAAGATCCTAAGGAGGTTGTTTTCAAATTTATGGTGAAATTTTTCCCAGTGGACCCTGGACATCTTCGAGAAGAGCTTACAAGGTAGAGTACTTACCTGTGGGTCGGCTGCATGATGTTACCTAAGACTCATTATTCTCCATTTATCAGGGGATGGGCTTCTAGCCTTCTTTGGCAAGCTTGGCTCTCAGTCACTCTCTGGGAGAGTGAGGTGAGGAGCTGAGGAGAAGGAGGGCCTGGGTGGTCCCCAAAGTGTTAGTCTTCCAAAGGGTGGGGATTTCAGGGAGGAGGGGTGGCCTTCTAGCACGGCAGCCAGCCTGGGTGCCCATGTAGGGGTTCTGCCTTTAGCTGCTACAACAACAGGACTGCTTGCCTTCATCGCATCTGTGCTCCAGCTGGAAGGCAGCTTGACAGCACGAATATACCAGCTATGAAAACCTGCGGGTGTGTGTATGCATCCTATGAGTAGAAAGTGATGACGACACATACTTATAAAACATTGAAAGAGTAAAAAAATAAAAATTCTAAAAAAGGATTTTAATAAATTATAATATATAATGGACATCATTGATAATTATTACAATTCTTTAATAATTATAAATTATTCATAATTTTATGTAATTTTAACAGTCATTTATAATTACACATTATTCATAATTTGAGACAAAATCTTTTATGTGTATAAAAATAAAATTTACAAGTATAAAACGTTTAAAAAATCTATTTAAAAAAATTTTTTTTTTAATTTTTTTTTTCAACATTTATTTATTTTTGGGACAGAGAGAGACAGAGCATGAATGGGGGAGGGGCAGAGAGAGAGAGGGAGACACAGAATCGGAAACAGGCTCCAGGCTCTGAGCCATCAGCCCAGAGCCCGACGCGGGGCTCGAACTCGCGGACCGCGAGATCGTGACCTGGCTGAAGTCGGACGCTTAACCGACTGCGCCACCCAGGCGCCCCTAAATTTTTTTATTTAAGTTATTTTTTAAGTTTATATCCAAGTTAGTTAGCATCTAGTGCAACAATGATTTCAGGAGTAGATTCCTTAGTGCCCCTTATCCATTTAGCCCAACCCCCTCCCACAACGCCTCCAGTAACCCTCTGTTTGTTCTCCATATTTAAGTCTCTTATGTTTTTGTCCCCCTCCCTGTTTTTATATTATTTTTGCTTCCCTTCCCTTAAGTTCATCTGTTTTGTATCTTAAAGTCCTCATATGAGTGAAGTCATATGATATTTGTCTTTCTCTGACTGACTGATTTTGCTTAAAAAGTCTATTTATACTTAGATACAATACCCTTCAAAATGACAATGTAAACCTACTTCAAAAATGCATTGTCAACATAATGCTCCCCCAAACCCTACTGTGCTTGCCAGGCTCTAGAATCTTACCCTAGCATGGATATTTGAGATAATCTGGCCCAGCTCTCCTAGTTTACAGAGGAGAAAACAGGTCCTGGGAGCTTTGAGTGATTTGGCCGAGTTTTCCCCCACCTCCCACACCTCCCAACACAGCTCAAGGCCAGTTCTTCTTCACCCCTTTTGTACAGGAGGACTTGTATGCTGCGGGGTCTCTGCAGACGTCACTTTTCACAAGTCTGTCACTCCCTCACACCTTCTCTCTTCCATATTTGTGAGTTGTAGCCCACTTTCCCAGATAACCTGATATCTTGGTATCTATATCAGTTTGCATTTGCTAACCCATTTCAGTTGAGTCTCACACTGTGACCAATTTTAATGGAGATAAACTCCTCCACCCTCCAAAAGAGAAAGAATGAGAAAATCAATGTGATGATAAATGATTCATCAGCTGTTCAGAGCGAGGATTTGGTATTTGTAGCAGGCAGCTGCCCTCTTAGTAGCAAGGAACGTGTCAAATGACAAGAAGTTTCCTTTTCCTTCTTGCTAGGAGCAAAAAGAAATTCACTTTCCCTTCAGCGATTGAGGCTTATTAATTCTCATTTACATCTCTATTTGAGAGCAGGCAATGGCAAATGTTAGACTTCCTTTATTTTTTCTGGTAGGCCATTTAAGATACTTCACTATAGTTAAATTCACAAGGATGCCTTGTTTGGGGCCAATCCATGAGTTTCTGAGAGTGGTATGCAAATATAAATTTTCTAATTGAATCATTTCTAGCCCATTAGGGGAGCTCATAATTTGAAGTATTACAATGATGAATGCGTTTATAAATTGAATAATCACCTACTAATTTTACCTGCTTGTTCTAATCTAGACTTTTATCTATCCCCTGCAATTAATTTTGATTTACCACATTGCCTTCAAGGCTTAATTGATTTAAATAAAGAAGTCCAGATAAAACTTTATTTAGAAAGTTACATCTTACATTGGGAAATGCCCACAGTACATACTCAATGTGTTTTTCAGTGTATAAAATCAAATATTGGAACCAAATTTGGACCATGGAAGAAAGCAGTCAATGATAGAATCTTCTTTTTACACATCTTTTCAAAACTTGATTCTCCTTTGGTAACAGCTTAAAAGCGTGGGACCAAATGCTATCTCCTTGGCAGAACTCTGGACACCAATCTGTACTTTATGGGTCCCTGATGAGCATGTCGGTGGGAAAAAAAAGAGCACACTGGGTTCATTCCTTTCAGAACATAGGAATTTCCTACGTGCTCTGTGCAAAGTGCTGGGCTGGTCTCTGATGATACAGAGAAGGTAGTCCGAGTAAAGCATGACCTCAAGTCCTCGATTTCTGAAACACAATATTTTGGATAGGAGGAGGCATAAATTCTGTGGGTGACCTGACTTCTGGCCAGTTTCACTATCTTTGGGCAAAATGACCTTGCCCAAATCACCTAACCTCTGCCTTTCTGTAATTGTAAAATGGGGTGATCATTCCTGCTCTCCCAATCTAAGTTGTTTTGATAGTGAGTGCTCTGATAGCATTTAGTAAACAGAGCCTCCCCAGTGGGCTTGTTCTTGCTGAATCTCCCTTTGTCTCTGGCTGGCTATGTGGCTTTGCTACGTGGCAGAAACCACTGGAGGATGATTGGCCAACTCCCTCAAGTTGGCGGGAGGATTTAGCTGGGGTGATTCCTAATGGCTGTGAGGCCTGCCAAAATGCTGGATCAGCCGAGTTGTGGTCTGGTACTGGTTTGGGGCTGAAGCAAAGCCTATGCATTACTCACCATCCCCAAAAGGCATCTTGCTGACTGGGGGCGCCGTCTCTTTCTTGAAACATCTGGGATCTGGGAGAAGGGAAATGCTTCTTTCTTGTTCTTGTTTCTTAAGAGGTTTTCTTCCCCCCCAACTTCTTCCAGGTATCTTTTTACTCTTCAAATAAAGAAGGATTTGGCTCTAGGAAGGCTTCCATGCAGTGACAACTCTACAGCGTTGATGGTATCTCACATCCTACAATGTAAGTAGCAAATGTCGGTTTCGGCGCCAATCGACCGGATAGGGAACCGAGCAAAGGAGCCGAGCACGCCCAGCGTGTCCATCCTGTGTTAGGACTTACAGAGGAGAGGAAGGCTGGATAAGATATATGTAGAATCAGCATGGTCCAGGAGAAAGAGGCTAGTCATTGTAGTCATTCAGCTTTGGATTCGAATCTAGTCTCTACTACGACCTAGCTGTTGTCATCCCCTCACTTGTCTGTGCCTGAGTTTCCGACTCTTTATAATAGTGACGAGAATACATTCTCACAAGATGGCTATATAGATTAAGAGTAAATGCTGATTTTTTTTTTCTATCATGGCGTAACCTCCGGCCCCCCTACCCTCCCCACTGCCCTACCCCCGCCTGGGGCTTGCTGTCCAGGAGCGGGTTTGGACTAATCTGTCCAGACATGGGTTTTGCCAGGCAGGCTCCACTCTCTGTGCTTGCCCCAGGATACATTTCTGGTACGTGCTTTCTGCAGCACATTGTCATGTTTGATAGGATTTTTGTGTTGCTCTTTATCATGAGTCTGGAGAACAAAGCACAGAGTACAGCAGGTGGAAAGAGGCTAAAAGGGAAAAAGGCCCCAGGCATCTATTAGAGCTCCCATTTGCTAGCAGCCAAGTAGTTGGACTAGGCTGAATAATGAAGGCAGGGAAAAGGAGACCAGGGGAACAGTGGGAGCCAGCTTGGGAGGGGGGAAAGCTGGGCAGGCCAGGCTTCTCCTGCAGCCCTGAGGGTGGGTGGGGTCGAGGCAACTGGAGACTGTATTTCTTCTTATATGGCCAGTGGACTTTCTTTCTCTTCTAGAGAAGCCTTCCAAGAATAGGCTGTTCTTTACCACTTTTGCAGAATCATGACATTGTATTCTGTCTTGTTTCTCGACTTCATTTTTGACCTGTATCCCTTGACCTTCCTGACAGTCCCGAGCTGGTAGATTTCTGATTTCACTGGGAACTCCAGAATGAAGTGCTTCGATAGGGGCAGTGTCTAAATCAGTGTTTACCAAGGGACTGCTGACTGGGGCAGTCAGGTGACCACAGCCCCAGGATATCAGGAAAGCACTGGGCAGTGAGAGCAGTAGTAATCAGGAAGGGCTTCTGGAGGAGGTGGCTTTTGTGCTGGTCTTTAAAGGGACACATAGGAATCGGATAGGCAGTGATAGGCAGAGAAGACAGCATAAAAAAGAAAATTGTGCTGGGCCAAGAAGTCATATATACAGAGATGTAGCTCAAGTACAGCTCACACATAGGTGTATCGAGGAGGGGTGGCTGAAAACTACATGTCATATTGATGGGCTTTGAATGTTTGGCTTGGTGGGCACCAGGTAAGGCGGATAGATGAACCAATGTTGGAAGACTTCTCCTTTTTCGTTATCAGCCTGTGAATGACTGGGGCCCCCACATGATTGTTGGGGAGCCCAATTGCATCCTGGATACTTTAGCATTATGGATTTGGGCATTCCCTAGTGGCCATTTCAGGCATAGCACAGAGGACTTCAGCTTTTCCAGAGGATATTTTGTCAATACAAGTTCTTTCCATAGAGAAAAAGCTAAAGTTTCGATGAGTCAGCTCTGCACAATCCATAGGTTGGACTATTTCACTGGATGCTAAGGCAGCGTGTAGAACATCACAAGACTGCTCGTTCATTTGCTCATTTATTCATTTATTCATTCATTCCATATTTATGTTCTAGGCATTCAACAATCTCCACATTCTGACTTCTCATCTGCTTAAGTCTCTCCTACACATCCCTTTTGTGAACGCTTTTAGTAACTCTTCTTTGTCATTCATTCCAGAAACACTTACTGAGTACCTGCCCCATGCCAGGTACTATTATAGGCATGGGGAACACGGCAGTGAACTAAACAGACACAAACCCTTGCTCTTGTGGAGCTCACATTTTGGCAGTGGAGGGCAATCAGACAATAACCAAAATAAGGAAATATATAATGTATTAGAAGGAGATAAGTGCATTGGAGAAAATAAAGTATGGAAGGCAGCTGGGGAATTCCGGGGGTGGGTACTGAATTTTTCAGTAAGGTAGTCAAGTTAGACTTCACTGTGAACATGACAGTTGAACAAAGACATGGAGGAGGTAAGAGAGCAAGCCTTGCAGAAATCTGGTGGAAGGGTGTTCCAGGCAGAGAGAACATCCTGTGCAAAGGGCCCGAGGGGGGAGTGTGCCAGGGGTGTTGAAGAAATGTTAAGCAGGCTTTGTGGCTGGATGGAACTGAGGGAGAAGGGGAGAGAGTAATCGTGGAGGGTCTTAAAAGCGTATTAAAGACATAGAAGATTACTCTAAATGAGACGGCAAGCCATTGAAGCGTTTTAAGCAGAGGAGTGAAATGATCTGAATTAGGATTTAACAGGACCATGTTGGCTTCCGGGGTGAAAAGAGACCCTGTGAGGGAATGGGAGAAGTAGGGAGACCAGAGAAGAGGCTATTGCAGTAGAGAGAGATGGTGGTACTTTGGGCCAGCCTGGTAACAGGGGTGTTCTCATAACATTTGCTACCTTCTTTTACTGATGATATTTACTCATTTGTATGTTGTAGGTCTCTTCCTAGATTTTCATAGTCTTGCATGGAATGAAAAACCAGCAGTCTTTGTGTTCTTGTGTTTTCCTAGGGTCAACATAGGCTCTTGTGCTTAATAGACGGAAAGATTGGTGTGTGTGTGTGTGTGTGTGTGTGTGTTTAAAAACAGCTCTATTGAGGTATAATTTACTTATCATAAAATGCACCCTTTTTCAGACTACAACTCACCAATATTTAGTAAATTTACAAAGTTATGCAACCATTACCTCAATCCAGTTTTAGAACATTCCCATCACACAAGAGACCTCTCGTGCCCATTTGCAGTCACTCCCTGTCCCCATGCTCAGCCCCAGCAACTACTAACTTACTTTCTGTTTCTATAGATTTGCCCTTTCTAGACATTTCAGTCAGAATGATAAAATATGTGGTCGTTTACATCTGGCTTTGTTTCATTCAACATAATATTTTTGAAATTTGTGCAAGTTCTAGGATGAATCGCAGCAGTTTGTTCTTTTCTTTTGCTGAGTAGTATTCCATTTTGTGGACATACCACATTTTGTTTAATTTGTGAGAGAGCAGGCAGGGGGAGAATCCCAAGCAGACTCCACACAGCACAGAGCCCAACGCAGGGTTCCATCTCACAACCCTGGGATCATGACCTGAGCCAAAATCAAGAGTCAGGGGCGCCTGGGTGGCTCAGTCAGTTAAGTGGCCGACTTCGGCTCAGGTCATGATCTCGCGGTCCGTGAGTTCGAGCCCCGCGTCGGGCTCTGTGCTGACAGCTCAGAGTCTGGAGCCTGTATCAGATTCTGTGTCTCCCTCTCTCTGACCCTCCCCCGTTCATGCTCTGTCTCTCCCTGTCTCAAAAATAAATAAAACGTTAAAAAAATTAAAAAAAAAAAAAAAACAAAACAAAAAGCAAAATCAAGAGTCAGATGCTTAACTGACTAAGCCACCCAGGCACCCCAACATTTTGTTTATCTATGTAGTTGATTGTGAACATTTGGATTGTTTCCAGTTTAGCTCATATAAATAATGTTATGAACATTCATGTACAATTTTTGTTTGGACATATTCTCATATCTCTTGAATAGATTTCTAGAAGGGTAATTACCTCATCTTAAGGTAAATATATGTTTAAAATTTTAAGAAGCTGCTGAACTGTTTTCCATTTTATTTATTCTTATTTATTCTTATTATTCTTGTGGCCATTCTAGTGGGTATGAAGAGGTATCTTGTTGCAATTATAATTAGCATGTTCCTAGTGACTAATGATGTGGAACACCTTCTCCTTTGCTTATTAACAATTCCTATGTTTTTGTTGGTAAAATGCCTTTCAAATCTTTGGCCCATTTTGAAATGGATTGTTGTCTTCCTACTGAATATATATATAT